GTTTGTTTTGATTGAACAATAAAATCCCTACTTTGGATTTTATAAATTAAAGTGACAAAATGACAAAAATGAAATTCTTGAGTCGAGATCCACCTAAAAGCTTTTTACTGTGCTTTTAATAATATCTTGCAGTCTTCCTCAGTAGATGGAGTTTGCTCAGTTGTTATTGGCAAGGTCATGATGACAAAATAACTGTTTCCATGACAACTCAGTCCACTGCAGAGGAAGACTTTGAGTTGTGGTTGACAGACCCGGTTAAAGCTAATGGAGTTATTCATTATTTGTTTTGAGGTTTTGTTGGGACATTTTAGACCCTGTTCTCAAGGTCAACAATAAACTTCCACTGTTATTTACCTGCTGTTCTCTGATTGAAGCATTTTAGCATTTTTCAGCTCCATGAAGCATTTTAGCATTTTTCAGCTCATTGTTTTTGTTTTACAGACCACACCCTCATCTCAGTCTCAGCACTCTCCTCTGCGTCATTTTCAGCAAGCAATTGTTTTCAGTGAAAAGTCTCGCTTCCTGCCCAGGAACAAACGACAGACGAGGTTATAAACTAGCTGGTGAAAGTACTGGAACATTTAGCTGCTAAACAGCAGTCTCAGGAGTGGGTGGAGACCAAAAATAAAGCTAAAAGAAGTGTGAATATTGGAATATGCCTCAAAATAAGCACCAAAGTTGCTTCATATTTGCTGCATGTATAAATAAGTCACCATACCACCTTCACAAGGCAATTATGTGTTGGTGTTATGCAGGTTTAGGATGGTTTAGATATAAATTTTAAATGAGCAACCAATCAGGCATTTGACCTTTTTAGGATTAAATTAGCGTGATTTTCATCAAGCTGAGTCAAGGACTAACTGCTAATTGATGTCTAATATAAGTGAGTAATCATAAATAACATATCAAGATAGATAAAACGTTTTCATAAATTATTAGAACGAATAAGAAACTGGCTGTTGTCAGTGAGTACACATGGTTGTATCTTTATAAAACACTCACACAATGATCTACCTGGAAACCTCTCTTCTTATTTCTCTTTTCACCTCCCACCCCACCACCCGCTCTTCCCATCTGACCTGTGAACCTCAGTGGAAACGATGCGGTCCCTGTGGACCACCACAGCTGAAGATAGCACAGACACACACACATACCAGGAAATCCTCAGCTCAATTTTATTTATTCAAGCCTCCTACTCGTTTCTCTGCAGCAGTTAAGTACAGCGAACATGGGCTGTAGATGGAATTTTCTCCCCATACCACACACACACATGCACACACACGTAGACATGAAAGCACTGTTACTATTAACATCTGACCTTGTCCCAGAGCATTCTCCAGCATGAATTTTAAACAAGCGCCCTCTTCGCCCAGACCTAAATGACCCCCCCTCAGATGCCTTGCAAAATTATTCATCACATTGTCATATAACTGTTGCCTCAAGCCAAAATATGGAATAGGTTCCTTATGCCGGATTTTCCAGAGTATTGATCAAAACTGTCAAATTCTTCGGCTGCATGCCAGGCCTTGTTGGAATGAAAAGTATCACAGGGGGTCATTCGTATGCATCAGTCAGAACAAACAAAACTAGATGGAATACCAAAATTGTATTAATGTGTGTTGTGCATATTTGTAAGAAATGCAAAAGAATGCATTTTTGAAAGAGGGGAAAAGAAAGATGGAGAAAAGCTAAAATTGTAGCTACACAAACACCAGAATTTCAGCGACAAGTTGACATTGGCCGGGTTTTGACAGCAGTGAGAAAATTCCATCTAATTGAAGGATGCTTGTCAGCCCTCTAACCGTCAAACTGATGTCAGGAGAAAATTACCTACCAGAAATTCTCTGTCTGCTCTCCTCCTGTCTCTTCCCCCTGCAGCACTCTCACTGTCTGCAGATATACAGATAGACAGAAGCCGCTTATTCAACCAGTGTATTGTAGATCAAAGTAGTGAAAGCACAACACATTCTTGAAAGATCTCAACTAATGACACTGGCTTGACACTGGGTTTTAAGCTCTCCCATCCCAATCCTCTGCACTGATCATCCTGGCTACCTATCGCAGTTGTACCAAATCTTTCTTCTGTCTGCCCTGTTCTGCTGGCTGGCTTCTCTGAGTTCAGTGGGTGATACATTCAGTCATGCACATCTGCTAAACATGGAGGCAGAAACGGATGTAAATTAAGTGTAACAGAAGAGTGTATTTCCTAGAATCATACACAGATTACGCCAGTAGTGCCAGAATTAGCATTGGGTATGCAATTAACTGTGGCTGCATAGCTCAATTTTTCTCATTTCTCTCTCTGTAAATATGTGCACACATTCCCCCCTGAAAATGCTCCTCGACAAATTTGCAACTTGTCCTTCATTTACTTTGTTTTCTTCACACATTGTTACCAGAGCAGGAATGAGTGAATGCCTAGTATACAACTTTATTTCACCTGAAAAGAACCTCAGTGAATTACAGTCGATGTGAATATGAAAATAAATCAAGGTTCATAAAACTCACAAGACCAATATGATAGATTGCTAAAATAACATAAACAATATATATATATATATATATATATATATGTACGATAAAAAGTCTACTTTGGTCAATGCGCAATATTCTGCTTTATTCTGTCACCAATAGGATTAAGCTCATTATTCATTACACTTCCGTCATATACATATCTTATATGTATTGTATTATAATGTACATACTTCAGACTCTGATTATGTCTTTCTGTTTTCAATATATTATTTAATTTTATTTTTTATAATTTCTAGGCTATATAAATTGTTGTAAGATATTGTAATATAATACCTATTTTAACGTTTTATGACCTTGAGTAAATGTAACAAAACAAATTTCCCCAGTATTTCTGATTCTGATCCCTATTCTAAAAGTCATATAGGGACGCCCTGGTAGCTCACCTGGAGTCCTTGCTACAGCGGCCATGGGTTCAGCTCCGACCTGTGGCCCTTTGCTGCATGTCATCCTCTCTCTGTCCCCTGTTGTCTGCCAGCTGTCACTTCAATTAAAGGCAATAAAAGCCCCCCAAAAATATATTTAAAAAGTCATATAAAACCAGATATGCAGTATGTTTAAATTCTTTGAAAATGAGTACTAGTAGTAGTGACTAAATAAACTATTGACATTGATGATGGTTTTCTTCCACTAGTGTCTGTCTGCATATAAACTGAGATTATGTAGAAAGAAAGACAAAAAGAAAGGGAATGGTGACACTGTGTGGTTGTTTTTTGTAAGTGCAGGTAATAGACTCACTATAACCAGTGGTTAGTCCTGCATTTAAAAGTGACTTACTTAAGTAACATTCATGAGTATTAGTATTACTATATTAGTATAAATGTACTTCAGTATTAAAAAGTAGCTCCTTACTCAACAGCCCCTTTATATTATTCATATATTGGTACCACTTTCTAATAAGGAACTTAAGGGTTTGTAAAATGTAACTAATGGCTTTATTATTACTATTGCTTTATAGATCAGTAATATGCCATTAATAAGACAAAATATTGTTTTGTGGAGATTGTGGAGGATCTATTGGCAGACATTTAATATAATAATCATAGGTATGTTTTATTAGTGTATCTGATAATAAGGATTGTGGGTTACCTTAGAATGAGCCGTTTTTATATTAGCTCTAATCAACCAATTAATAATGTTTATAGGTTGTTAATAAATCTAGCTCCAGATGCTGCAGTAAGTGGTCAGCTAGAACCGGTATATTTACAATAAGAATGTATCAAATGACAATAATAAAATATGTGACCATGTTAAAGGGGTCGCTTGTAGTGATTAATACAGAGAATTGTCACTCAAATCTCAAATCTCAAACATACAGTTAGTTAACTAGCTGGTAAACACACTCAAGCATTTAGCAGCTAAATCAACACATTTTTACCTCAGAGGTTGGTTAACAGAGCTAAAAAAAGAGTGAATATTTGACTTTTCTTAGGTGGCCATTAACATGACTGCAAGTAAAGTTAATGTTGCTCCGTAACTGGATGTGCCACTGTTTGCCAACAAGTTCACCTTATCAGCTTAAAGGTGATAATAAGGTAATTGTTGTGTTCAGTACCTTGTTTCCACTGGCCCCAAAAAATCTGTTATTGTAGGTTTAAGAGCTAGCTAAAAAGACAAAGTAAATTCCCAGCTGGAAGAGGATTTTCTCCAATCTGGCAAGCCTATTCGCTGGGATCTATAAAACAGTTGTAATTGACTTATTATCCTTTAATAAAGCTGTTGGTTGCTGCTTATAAACTATTGAAATCATCATCCTCTCATCCTCTCTAAAAAAATATATATACAAATTGGTACCTGTGTATTACAAGATTATTATAATGGATACAACTTGGATTTATATAATGTTGGGTAGTTAAGTCAATAATGATGCAGCATATTATCAAATCACCATCAACTTATATATATAAATTGTGTACCTGCAAAGTAACTTCAGCTGTCACATAAATATAGTGTATAAAAAAGTACAATATAGTATATACCTAGTAGCACCTTCTGGTAAAGTAGAAGATATTCAAACTTTTACTTGAGGAATTGTACTTAGCCAGTGTGTAGAACAATTATGGTGCTGTTCTAAAATGAAATAATGTGTAGTTGAAGGTTTCTTGTCTCTGTTAAGGCTTAAATATTAGACTTCCTCTCATATATGCTTCTGTCTCTGGTCATTAAGATCCTTCTTGCACTAATTCTTGGTAGAATCTCAGCCTTGTTGCCCAGGAGATGCAGGATCAATGGGCCCTTTGACAAGAAAATGATCTACCACGATTACAAACCTATTACTGATGCAACATTTAAATGTCACGCAATTCATTGAAAAAAATGAAATGTTTTTACTTTGTAATACATGAGACACACACAGATGTTTTATGTTTTTTTTAATTAACTTACACTGATAATGCTGTATAAATGGCAGCAGACATAAGCTGTGCAAGCCCGGGAGAGGTAGAAACACAGCTGGGTATTGGATGGTTGCAATATGCCACAATTTGACACAAAGACAATACAGAGATGCAGAAAATGATACTGTATGAGCTGTCAAATACACAGTGTGAGCAGGTGTTTCAGCAAACACAAGGACAGACAATCAGTGCATAGTGGTGCAGTCTTTAAACAGAGCTATTAAGGAGCACTAATGTTTAAATAATTGTTTGGCTCAGTCACAGATCACTTATTTGGCCTTTTGTTATGATATTCAAGTTTTGGAAAAAGTCTATGACAAAAGATTAAAGACAGTCAACAGCTTATTGGGAGGTTTATAAGGAAGCTTTCAACTTCTTTAAAGGTACCCCAGTAGGGAAAATGGTAATGGTAACTGACAGGGGCCTCCTTTATCCGTCAGTTGGTAGAACATGATATGGCATCAATGCAACAGTTACAATGATTCTGGGCAGTAGGCTTAATGTTCAGTTGCTTTTTTGTTCCCGTAAAGATTTGTCATATCAGTCTTGGCTTCTTTCATAGATGTGGATTAAAATAAGTCGGCTGGACGAAACCGCTGGACATGAAGGGATGCAAGAGCCCTCCAGTGGATGAAAGCGGAACAGCACCGGCTGTGTGGAAGATCACATTCCCAGAGGTGAAGTTGGGGAAAGTTTGGTGGAAGCTGGCGGGGCTTGACCCACACGTGGGCGGGTTTGGACTGACATTGACCAGGGAGTTGGAGCCGGGCTGCAAGGTGCTGTCCGCCCCGGGGTTCTGCTTTTTCCATTTGGTCCTCCTGTTTTGGAACCAAATTTTCACCTGGGTTTCGGTCAGACTCAAGGACAGGGCCAGGTTTAGTCTCTCGCACACGGACAGGTACCGAGTTGTGCGGAACTTGTTTTCCAGAGCTACCAGTTGCTCGTAAGTGAATGCTGTTCTGGCACGCCGTGGTTTGGCACAGGCCTGCTCTGGGCGCCGCCGCTTGTGCGGTGATGGGTCCTGCAGGGACTCTGACTCTCCATCGTCCTGCTCTCCTGTGAGACAGGGCTCTGTTTCAGCCAGAGGGGAGAGCAGAAGGGGGTCTGTATCAACTGTGTGATGCCTGGAGGCTGAGGAGGGTTCATCTCCTGTCTCCTCTCCTGTGAATAAAGAAGAAGAGTGAGCTCACATCCTGTAAACCTCTGCAGCATTTAACGTATAATATAAGGAATTGTCATATTAGAGTCATATTAATTAATTTTCCAGTAAAACATTGAAACTGTCCTTATCCACTCATATCCAAATGGCAACTATTGAACATCAAGGCTTGGCTTCCCTGATGGTTCTTAAAAATATAACTGTCTAGTTGACTGAATTTTCACAGCAATTTCCAAAACTACATTTTTGAAGAGATATCTAATATTTGATTGGACCTTTTGATGAGTGTGTTTTGAGTAATAGGCCAAAAAGCCTAAAAGCTTGCTAAATGGACTAAATTGGTCGTGGTGCTGAAAGGACAGCTCCTGACAAGACAGAAGTCATGTGTCAAATATCAAAAGGTGGAGGGCCCACCCTCGCCTAAGAGAGTTTTTCCTTCATTGTGCAGTGATGTTCCTTTTTGAACTGCAGTGTAAATACCAAACACAGAAGGCCTAAAGTTGACATCTGTAAAGTGTTTGATTAGGATCCGGAGGTCGCTGGAGCGGAGCGGAGCATAGATTCAGAGGAGAGGGAGACTTGGTCACTAATCCTTAAATAATTTATAAACCACACAGCGCCTCAAATGTCATGTTGCGGAAAGAAATCCCGTCTAAATCCAGCTCCGCCACCTCAGCCATGACGTGCTAATGGAGTTTCATATTTGCGGGTGGGTCGATAAATGTCATCTATTTAAAGGGAAGTTTTAATCGAACGATATTTAGGATCAGACATGGATGGGGTGTGAAGTTTGTACCTGCAAGGTGCTAGAGGGAGATATGCAGGATGCAGTAATGGGATATCGATCAAAGCGCGCAGAGGCATCCTCAATGGGACGATTTAAACAATTATCTAGCCTGCCTGTCCCAGTGCCAATCACACGCTGGGGCTCTGGGAGCAAGCCTTTGTGGCTTCCTTGAAAGGAAACGCAGCCTTGGAAATTAAGGGAAGGTCATACAGAGATGACAATAAATCTGATAGAAAATAGCGTCTCACTTGCTGGTGTGTAGCCTGGAGCTACAAAGGTTTTATGGTGAGATTTCACAATTTAGATTTTTTATTTTATTCATGCGCTCTTAGTTTATAATGTTAAGATATGAGAATGTATGCATACGCATTTATTTAAGTCTGGATGTTTCGAAATAATTTGTATATGCAATAAAAAAGCTAAATAATGACACGTAAACGTTTGTTTTACAGGCTGAGTCATATTCTAAAATTGTCTGTTTTCTCTACCTGATTCCGTGCGCTCAACTCTGAAGTCTCCGCCTGCAGTGCTGTCCGAGTCCAGACTTGTTCCCTCTGCATTTGGCACAGGAAACTTCTCCGCGATGATTGAAAGTTCATTTACCCTTTTGCTGTTGAATTTCTTCGGATCCAATATATCAATTATAGAAAAGGAAATCTTATGGCTGGACGTCATTGTCACTCCACAGTCCTTGGGGTCCAGCATCCTTTATCGAGAAAGACCTTTAAATAAGGGGAAAGGGCTGACGTGCGTAATTACGCGTGTGGAGAGGAACTTCTCATAGTTTAGCCTACTTCCTGTCTTCGAGCTTCATCAGACCGGATCAGTGTTGATGATCCCTCGGAGTGTGGACTCCTCTGCTTCTGTCTGTCAGTCTTGCAGCGTGAATGAGATGACCGGAGCGCGGTCTTTAAAGCATCTGTCCCCCCAGTCTCTCAGCCAGACACGTGACACAAACACTATTAGTGTTTCACAAGACCACCTAATGCGCTCAAAGCATTTGTCGATAATCACCCATATCATTAAATTCAATAATCCACGACCCGAGAGTAAATTGGGCACAGATGGCACTTGATCCATATCGGAGATCGCCCCGTCTCCCCAAATTGGACTCTTTTAGAAGCGTTACTGTCAAGAAGGGAATATTCGTGTCCCTTGAGCTGCAGAAAAACTTTCTCTTAATCGAAACCAAACGGTTTATGCCTATTGACTGTTGTCTGTTCATGGGAATGTTGCAGCATAACGATTCCTATTAGTACAAATAAAAACGTTTTATATTAAGATGTAAAAATATAAACGCATTGGAATTACACTCTCACCATTTTAACGGCGACAATATTGAATGCAGCAGTAAATATTAAACACAGATGTTAGTAGATGTACAATAACTGAAATAGAAAAGCATTGTATGATTATTTATGAAGCTATGGTGTTTCATTAACACTTTAGATGCGGTGGGAGCTACATTTATAATATAATTCAGTAAATACAGCTATGAAGACAACTAGTGCTTATGGCCCCTCTATCTTTTAGATGTTCTACTTACTCATAATTGCATGTCCTCTGTTGTTCATTTTATTCATTAATTGTTGTTTTCATGAAACCGTGATAATAATATCAGTATAACATTTCTAATATTATTTGCACTGCATTGCACTATGCAGCAGCAACTTTCATACAGTTAAATAACAGAAAATAATCCTTGGAATGGCAAGGTTTGCAATATTTTGATATGGAAAAAGGCATCAATTCCCCATCTGCTTGCACTAGCATTGTAACAATCGATACCAAATAACTTCGACTTGCTTATTAGAGAGAACTAAATAAGGAGGACTAAAAGTATTCGGGATAAATCACTACTCTAGATGCTATTTTAAAGCATTCACAGCTAAATTGCAGGGGTACAATGAAAGCAACTGATTGTTTTCTCACCTAAGGTGATAGATTTATATTCACAATCAGTCAGCTCCCAAGTCTTTGCTATTAGTATTCAATATGAAGTGACATAGGGTTGTTTAAAGCTTGATGCCTGGTGATGGCTAAAATGGTGAAACCAGCACAGGATCAATATTCTCAGCAGGTGTCCAATACAGATAAAACCTGATGGCTACAGACAGTCATTTTGGATACTGGAAGGCCAAACCAGTAACTGCAACAGAACATGAGGGCTTGTTTGACACTTGCTTTACCTCCTCAGTCCTTGAACCTGCTAAACTATTTGCATTGTCAGTTATTGTTTCTTATCAGATTAATAATTTACATTTTTATAGAACTACAATCACTTCAAATAGGTGGTAAAAATGTTCTTTTTTTCTAAGGATAGCTGTGGTGTGGTGCTTTTTTTTGCATTAACATATTTTACCATCTAAGTCTGTGAGGTCTACATTGTATGTGGATGAGACAGACAGAAGGCATGAGGGCCTTTTCTCTGTTTGTAGTTGTGTCTGGTGTAAGTGACATGGGGGATGCGATTATGTTTACACACTGTTAAAGGCCTCCCTACACAATTTCCTGTGTTACTTATACAGTTCAGGGTGATTACTCTGCTACATGGAGCTTTCATTGCTACCTAGTCATAGTCTGTTGGACTGGCATGGTCTGCAGTAGTTACATAGTCAAACATTTGTTAAAGACGCCCCTACAGGGTGTCTGCATGTCTACATTTGCATGTGTATGGTACTTGCACGGCCATTACTGTAGTCCCTCCATATGAATAGAGCCCAGTGCACGCTGGAGGTTTACAACTTCCTACGAGAAAGCCCAGTGGCTGGACATCTGTTTGTGTGGGTCAGAGGGACAAAGGGACAAGCCCCGAGGACAAAGAGGCCCTCAGGTAGACTTCAGAGAGCGGGAACAGCAGCTGGCTCAGCTCGGAGTCTGCATGGGCCCAAGCAAGATTTGAGAGAGGAGGAGTGTTCCATGTCGGACACCGCAGGGAGCCAAAGAGACACACTTCCATCCAAGACCCCCCTACAGGGTCAATAAAGTCATCACCTCACGGGGAGGCTGCCCCCAGTCTGCTAAACGTCAGATAATTTGTCTAATGGCTGGAGCGGCATTATTAGCTGCAGTTCTACTCACAGACTGTAGTGTCTATTGTTTTCTCTAAAGTCCTCCACTGTCTCCCTAACTCTCCTGTAAAGTGGGACTCAAAGGATCAGCAAGTGTCCGGTGAACCATTAAGAGAGGCTGTTAGATCCTCTGTGCCAGATTCCTAAACTTTGTAGTTGTAGGGGTTTCTAAGATACAGTGACACCAGTGAACAGCACACTATGTTTTGGCTCATAATTGTAATTGTACACTTTCCATTGGTGGTTGCCTGTCCTAAAAAAATTACCAAACTAGGCTGAGTTTCTACCTTTCTGTTTGTCTCCATTAATTCCAGGATGAGTATCAACTTGCAGAGATCTACAACTTGCTTGACTTCACACTTTTGTTTCTTTCTCACGCAGCTTGTGTTTGGCAGTTAATATGTAAAACTTGCATGCAGCTTTGACAAAAAACAAAGACAAGGAAAACTCTTGCATTAACAATCTTACACAGCTTTAGTCTCTGCGAGTTGATTTCCTGACTAAGGTTGTCACAATACCAGAATTATAACCTTTGATACAATACTCAATTGGCACACAAAATATATTTTTTATTTACAACCTGCACTTGTTGTTAATGTTCTACAACACACAAAACCTCCAGTTCGGTTGTTTAACACTACTTCTGTACTACTACCTGGGTTTCTACTCTGCACTCAGAGGCAGTTGGCACTGATGTGTGCCAGTGCAGCTGTAGATCAATACACTACAATCTTTCTTAACGGGCATAAAGCTTCCCTCATTTTGCCAAGTCTCCTGTCTGCACTGCATGCCTACGGGGTTTTTGCTGCCAGGCCTCCTTTCAGTTAGACCTCTGTGTTTGTTTGACTCTCTCTGACAACAAGGTCAGTGGCATTGCCCAGTAATTGTCCTAACGGCCTGTATACCTGTTGGGTGGAGGCGAGTAATGAGAGTTTTTCATTATGGGCGGGACGGGTGAGTGCGCCTGGCAGATGCTGACAGGCAGCAGATGTGTAAAGTTGGGGGTGATTTGTAAAGGGGTCAACTGCATCACAGAGGAGATGGAGGGCAATGTGGGGTGGGGGTAAATTATGCTGAGGGACATTGTCAGTCATACTGCGCCCCTGTCACAACAAGGTAAAGGTCAGTTCAAACGTTGAGCTGTCAACTAACAACCAGCACAGTGTGGTCGTGTCAGTAAAGTACACAAACTTTCTACTGCATACTGACTGGAGATGTTTAGTACAAAGTTTATCGCATCTCTTCGAGCCTTGTTCCAATTTGTCTTCATGTGAAAACCCTCCTTAAAGCTGGATGTACTTGTGCAAACCTACAATTCTGTCTTGTGTGCATCAGAGGAGATGTGGAGTGCAGAGCTTTAGTCATTTTCGGTTTCCATGTCAGCACAAAAGGAACACAGTGATTTGTCCTGCATCTTGTCCTATTAATGACACACACAATATGCATTAGTTTCCCCAGGCATTCACATGGCTTTGCAGGTATACATGGGTCCAGAAATCAATGAAAATCACGATCCTCAGTTGTGAGATAGCTGTGGGTGATGGACCAAGGATCAGAGCATTTGATCTCATTTCCATTCCGTAAACTGGGGGCTCAGTTAAAATCATAAAGACCATTAAATGCTAATAGCACGGATTACTCTTAGTGAAAGACTACAAAACAATCAGCATTTTGTCTTCCCAGGGTATAAGCACTGTGTAGTTAAAGCTCTTGGGTTAATGCCCTGCCTATAGCTTCAAATTGTTTTGTCTGTAAATTAGGCGACACAGATATTTTGGCCAGCCTGTCTTCTCCACAGAAGAAAAAAAAACAATATCAGCCACAGGGAGGTGAGTGTTGTGGTGTACATATTGTGAGAAACCAAGAGAAAACTGCTGCAGCTGCCTGTTTTCCACAGGACTGAGGCCCTGCTAGTAATGGCTCTGTGGTCTCCAGCATCTGCACAGAGCGCACTGTCACTCAACGTGAGCATTGATTAGCCATTGTTCTGAGAAGGTCACATCATAATTCATTAACAATAATTAGTCCCGCAGTGCCACCTGCACTCCTTCTCTCGATTGCCCTGTTAAATTACGAGCAACCATCACGGTTCACGCGTGGAACAATGAAGATGTATCCGCAACGTAAAGGCAAGAGCTATTAGTTACATTATTTAAATGGACCCGTTTAAACCTGGGGAGCTGTCTTTATGAAGGGCAATTAGGCACTAACCGTAATTGATAATTCGTGCTAATTACAATTAGGAAATATAAATAGTGGGTGTAGGATTAATCATCATTGCGGTTAAGCGGGGAGCAGCCATGGTGCAGGCTGGGTAGGTGTGATGGAAGGCAATGGATTATGCCCCATTCATCTCCATCTAGTGCAGAAACAGATTGTGTTTGTCCCTTTATATTTCTCCATTGACCATTATCTCTTTTTCATTTCTGTGCCCTTGCCAAATAGTGCACAAGGTTGTGCAAGTGTGAGGCTGTAGTTTGTGAGCTGCAGAATGAGAGCACAGTGGCTCCGCAATGGTAGATGTTACTGGGAGGACTGGTTTCTTGTCATCCACCCCCAGTCTGAAATGATAACATTAAAGCCCAACAGAGGTGCTCCTTTTATGACTGAGCAATGATCTCTTTTTTGGATCTTAGATTTAAAAA